GGCCCATATCGTGCCTTCTCTGTACTAGAGATGAACTTAATTCTTCTTATATGTGAAAGAGATCTGCAATTTAAATGACTAATTGCATTGTAGCTTTAGGCTGAACATATTGGTAATGCACAAATGTTGATGACATGTGAAGGGTCAAGAGATTTATAATTTAGTTGACAATACATTGCTTAAAATGATGTGGCAAAGAGCCAGAAAATTTCAGCTTAATAATTGTCTGTTAACTAACATGACATATTTGTATAGGATTCATTACCTCCAGGTACAGATTAAGCATCTGATGTACCCATAAGAAGTGACATGCGTACATGAATCTTGGGCATAATAGTGAATAAACTGACATTGCATTCACAGTAATTTGTTTCAATATGTAAAACATGTTGTTGCCTACATTTGAAAGGACTTGTAGGAATGTTGCAATGAAATCTGAAGAAAAATGTGTAATTGAATGGAGTTTTCTATTATATAGATCTGACAGCTCTGTGAGGCTTTTTTGTAGGCTGCAGATAACATCATAAATACACATTTGTTTTCAGCTGCACAAGAAGCAGTCTGGACATAGAGATCTGAGTTTTTCAGCCATTGGCTTGAACTAACCTAATGGTCTATAGGATTAAAAAAAAAAAAAAACATAAAATCCCCAGACCCCAACCTAAAACAACCAACTTTACTTTTAAAAAAGAATCATATATATATTGAGTCATGTAATATTTTAATGTTGTGAATGTGGGAGTATTTCTGTCAGACTGAGGTTTGTTAGAATAGGCAGCATCAGTAGGCTGGATTGCCACCAGACTGCTATCAAACTTCTTTCACTTTGTCTTCTCTGGCCTACATTAGAGCACTTGTGTGTTTGAGCAAAAATGTCACCATTTTGCCAGGGTCTGTTCCTTTCCCCCTGGCTGCTGGAGGAGACACAGGTAAGTGCTTGAACACAATGTGTTAATGGTTTTTTAACCCTTGTTTCCTCCTGTGAGACAGAAATGTGTTGTGTGTTTTACAGCTGGGAAACCAAGTACAGCATACACTAGATATCACTGATCTCAGGGTGACCACACATGACAGAGATGGGGGTTGAATCTGGATGCTTTTGCTTCAATTCACTAGGTTCTCTTGCCACCTTTCAGCAATGTCTCTGCTGCACACAGCTGTATTTTTCAATGTTTGGGGATGTCATTGTAAAGTGTCTCATGACTTTACTTCCTTCTGCTGGTGGTATTTTTATAATGTGCAGCAGAGCTGCAATAACAGTCTACTCTCTTGGGATCTTGGCTCTGGGCCTGTGATATGTTTATGCCACACCAAAAATTGAAATGAGAGCTCTTGGCTTGACTTTTAAACATTTGACTGAGTACTTTTCTTCCTTAAAGTTTCTCCCTCCCAAGAGTTTAAAATTTTGAATTATGGTTGGTGTCATTGAAGTAATTGAATTTGGGAAGGGAACGTGTACTCCACCAGGAACAGCTCACTGAACCTGACTGGAATTGGTGGGGAGGGACATGTCTGCAGACCTCTGTGAGTTTTGTATCAGGGCCTGTAGAATAGCTCTGAGCAGTTTTGAAATCTTTACTGGTATCCATGGTCCAGACTTACAGATGTCAAGCTCCAGATACTTTGCAGACTAGAAGTAAGGTGGTAGTAGTGGCTCTGGATTAGCTTTACTCTTTCCTTTTCAGAAAATTTGTATTTTATTCTCCATCCAGCCACTGGAGAGAGCTCTAGAGATCTTTAAACAGGTTTCCAGAGCAACCTCTGAACGAAACTGGCTGTTCAACAGCTTGGGACTACAGCAGGAGCACCACAAAGGGTTCTGCTGCCAAGTGAGTGTAACTGATCTGAGCCGGGTGTTTATAAAAGGCTCTAAGAGTGACAGTGTGCTACTGTGGAAAAGGTGCTGATTTGGGCTCAATTCTGAGGATAGTTCAAAATCAGGACTGCTGCTGTTGTGACTTCCCGGGCCTGATTTTCAGTCAGTTGTTGTCTCAGTACGGGGATGGGTGGTTTACAGTGGTGCAGTTACACTGCTGTAGTGCCTCACCTGGCTTACAAACAGGGTCAGCTGTGATACCCAGGCTGGCTGGTAGAATCTGCACTGGTAGTTGGCCCTCCTGGGCTGCATGTGTCTGTCATTTCCCTTTTGGAAGGAAGGCAGGGTGGTGAGGGTTTACTAAAAGGCAGGAAATTCAAGGTAACAACAAAAAGCAGAGAGTGAGAAAAATGAAGTTGCTAGTTAGAGCACTACTAATTAGATGTTGCAGAAGGGGGATGCAGGCTGATCGCAGTACCCTTTGTTAGAACTGATTCTACAGGGATGCATTTCCCCTTTGTCTTTGTACTTGTCTGTGACCTGGTTGAAAAGCAGCACTTTTCCCCTAGAAATTGAAAAAGCTGTCTTGGTGTATGCTAAAGACTAGCAGTGGAGAATCCCCCAGAACAGCAAAACACAATTGGTTGCTGCCCAAATGGGAGGAGCATAATAGAGATGTCTGGGAGCAAAGAGTCAGCTGGTGTTTTTCAGGTCTCAGAAGTTTTGTTTTGAGGAAGGCGTATGTGAGATCTAAAGGAGAGGATTATTGACTGTTGCCTAGGGCCAGAAAAGGTTGCCCTCCTGCCCAACAGGAATTTGCTCAAGTGGAGCAGCAGAGGACCCTCCCCTAAAGTGTCCCTTGTGTCAGCGTGAGAGCTCAGAGCTGGAGATTTAATAAGTCTTGGACATTAACAGCAGGGTTTGTGATGGTTCTTTGGGATGTGCAGGTCTTGGACCACTGCTTGGTCCAAGTTCCAAAACAAAACCAGGAAAATCCAGTGTTTCAGTACAACTGTGGAGACAGTAGCCAACAGGAGATAGTGCTCAGCACTGCATAAATTCACTTAAAAGTAGGTTCCCTAGCATGGTCCCTATCTGGACTGGAATGATCTAGGCTGTCAGTCGGCTTCTTTAATTTTAAACCATCATGTACTGTGAGAGAAGGACACTTTCTTTTAACTTGTGGTAGGAGCTGTTGGTTGTCAAAGAGCTCCTTGGCCCCTGAAATGCTGTGCTTGGTAGCTTTGATAAGTCAGAGTGATGCTATGGGAAACTTAGAACTGTGAATGGCTGTCTTAGTAAACAGGGGCCCAGGATAAGCTTTGACTTTGGATGTGGTATTACAGCATAATATCGCTTTATGTCTCTGCACTGGGCATGATGGGTAAGAATTTAAGAATCAACAAGTCCATAACTGTCTCAAACTTGGGCAGCTTGGTACTTCTGCCCTGTTGTAGCATCTTGCAGCTACAGCAGCTTCCAAAGCAGGCTGGGCGATTTGTGCTCTCTGTCTGCCTTCTTGTAAGAGTGAACAGGATTGAGTGGCTTTGTTTGGTGTCTTCTTAAAGGTAAGACTTCTAGTCTAATGACTTATTTAGAGAGGAAATGCTTTCACCTCAATAAAGTTCTTTGAATTATAAAGGACATTGCTGTTGGGTTACTGAAAACCCTTGGGGTTTGTTTCATTTATAACATTGCCTCGGGCCTTCTGCTGCATCCTGTTGGACTGACCTCCTTTTCAACCCGAGCTGGCAGCTGCATTGCAGAGCTATCTTTTCCCTGGATCCTTCAGGGTTGTCATATGACAAACTTGAACTGTGACCCTTTTGTGTCTTACCAGGACAGCAGTGCCCTCTGTGCAATGTGGCCAGCAGTCTTCCCCATGCACGCATTTGTTCCGAGCCATTTAACAAACTGAAAGTTTCAAATGATGGCATTTCATAGTGTTTAATAGTATTGACTGTAAAGCAAATGAAATGGTGCTGAATACCCTGCGTGCTGCTTGTAAAAAAATACAGCTTCCATTTCTACAGTGTGCCCTGGGTTTTCTGTAGCTTGCATGTGCTCTCTGGTGAATCTCTTTATATTTTTAATAAATTTCAATGCTTCCACCCTAACAACAGTAGCATTTGCTGCTATATGTAGTCCAGCACTGGTAGTCATTTCTAATAAATGGGAGATATAAACAGATTTCTCTAAGCAAAGTGGGCAAAGTCATTTTGCAGAAGTCTTGCAGAGAGTGTTAGGGTAAGAATTGATATAGTTAACACTGCATCCAAGCAACACCATCTCCAAGTGGTGTTGATGCTGGGAGGCATTGCCTTGCTGAAGTTACAGAGACTGAGCACTCGTATTTGTACAAATTACATTCATTACCAAGAACCCTCCAGTAGTGATAAGAGACTGGCTGTGCAGCACAGATTGGCTCCAAGATAAGTAGCCAGTCTATTGTGCAGCTCATGGTAATCTTCCTCTTCCCCACCCCTAATAATAAATCTTGGGGCATTTTGGAAAGCATGGGGGTTGCTCATTCCAGTAGCTTGAATATAAAATTACTAAATATCATCATCTCCTACCAGTTGTATTTTCATAACCAAGCAGGGCAGCTGACTGAGGTGGATGGGCTCAGATACAGTGTTCTGAATATCTGGATGCTTTCACTGAGTATTTGTTGCCCTCTTAAAGGACAGAGCACAGATGATGGCTGGGATGAGTTTCTCCTGGCCATGTTCTAAACCTAGGGTGTACTCACAGTGACAGTATTCCTCATAAAGAGATAGAAACCTTTGGAGTAAGCAGTAGTAAGAGCTGTGCATGAGTGGGGCTCTGCATAGGTACTGTGTTAGTACCTTCTTCATAGTTGCTGATCCTTTCTCAGTCTGTTTAGCAGACTTCAGTGAAATGGCAGTTATTTAGCTTACAATATTAGTATAATTTTAAAGGAAGAAAGAACTTTGTGGTTGCTTTGACTTAAACCATCAGCTGGCAAGTGCTTGCTTTGTCTTTTTCAGTATCTAATCTGCAAGGATTTTTGGATTGCTGGTTTTCAATGTGGAAAGCTGAGCATCAGTGGGCTAGTTTTATACAAGTAGGCAGTATAATCCAACCAGTTTAGTTAAAACTTCTATTTACATGAAAATCTAATGTTTCTGATGTGTTTCTTCTTCCTCTCTCCCCCATTTAGGGTTTGAACAGCAATGGAATTGCTGGATCATCAGGTTTTAGCCTTACGAAGCAGATGCTCTGTCCAAGAGTAACCCGTGTTTGTCTCAGGGACTTGATATTCTGCATGGAACAAGAGAGGGAGATGAAGCATTCTCTACGCTTGTACCATGCTCTTCTGAAGTGATTTGAATCTTGCATTTCACCATGCTGTCTACTGCCAAAGATAACACTGAAGCATTGTTGCACTGTCTTGAAATTCCAGTTTCTGGAAAATGATCCGTTGTAAGGATAACTCTTGTTTACAGATAAACATTTTTATTAAATACCTAACTTAGCACCTGTAAAGTTTTCAATAATACTTGGCTTAAATCAGTCTGTAAACCAGTGAAAACACTGAGCTGCACACATAAGCACCTATCTGCTTGCATTTAACTGTTTTACAAGATCTGAGGGCTTGATAAGTGTCCCTAGTTTATGTATGCCACTTGCTTCAGTACTCCAGAGTCTGCAACATCTGTTCTATGTGTAGTGCCACCTTCCAACCCAATCTTATTTGAGGAAACAAATATCACTATAATGGCCCAGCATAGCATGGCAACGGTATTTAATCATGAACCAGCAGTCAGTAAACATGTTGATGTATTGCCTGTCTGACTCAATATCTTAAATATTCTGGGTTTAGAATTACTACTGGATGCTCATTTGTGGAGATCAAAGTAGCAAGCAAAAGGAATGAGGGGTCCTTTCTACCCCACACTTTGCCTCAATTGCCCTCAGCCTTTCCTCTGAGAGGAAAATGACAGAGGCAAGGAGGACAAATCAGTCATTCTTGTAATTGAAGTACATCACATGGTGTAGTTAGGGCATACTTGGATGGTCATAGAAAATTTGGAGTTACTAAAAATAAAAGGAGTAAAAGATCCTAAAAAGGGAAGTTAAACAGAAAAAACAGTTTATCTTTCTGTGGATACAAAAAATAGCATTGAACTTGAGCATAGATGTGGAAAGATAGTAACAAAACCTGTTCTGACTACAATAAAGGAAAAAGTTGAGATGCATTAAAACTCTGGAGGTGAAGACTCTCCTTGGAGAGGAGCAGTGTTTGCAAAGCACAGGATTCACTGCTTTAGAATATTGTTTTAATACTTTAATGTGGTGTAACAGGGAAGCTTCTCAAATAGAAAGTATTTAGAGAGTTGCTTTGTTCCCATTCAGTGAGAAGGAGGACTCTGGATTATAAAGACTGTTTGAACAGGTTCAGAGATTGTCTACTTTCTGGTAAAGACTGGCTTGTGGTGGAAGGAAAGCCCTCTGGGTCACCCTTCTCCCCAGGCTCCAAACGTTGCCTTTCATGACACAGCACTGTATAGTATGGCTGTTTCCCAGGACTGGTGGGAAAGACACTGACTGCATTCATGGAATGACAGAATATCCCGAGTTGGAAGGGACCCCCCTCAATGATCATCGAGTCCAACTCTAAACTGAACGGCCTGCACAGGGATTGAACACAGAACATGATTACACCATGCTCTAACCAACTATTGAATGGCCTCCTGCTGAATTTTCTTTTATTTGACAAGAAACAAGCTTCCTATGGTTACTTGGCATGCTACTTCAAAACTTGAAGCGACTGTTCACACAACTACTCTGCACTATCAGAACCACTGTAGATGGTTACCAAATTCATGAAGTTGTGAATTGGTTATGTTGGTTTTTGTTGGAACAGTAGTAAACAAATCTAGTAAATGAATACTGTAAATTATTTATATATGTATATATAGTTTATATATATATATATAAGAAAAGCAGTACTTTGACTATAGTTTGCAAGATATTGATGGCATCGGGCAAAATTGTTTTGTATTATTAAATGCTTAGCTTTACTTTTTATGTAAAGTGCAGCATTTTCCATACTTGTGTACTGTTATTGATCAGATGTTAAAAATTATTTTAAATACTGCATTAAAGCAATTATTTTATTAAAAATAATAAATTGGTAGCTTTGTTTCCTGATGTGAGAAGTTCAGCATCTGAAGCTGTCAGCACCGTGACTAATGATGTGACTCGAAGAGCCAAGTCCCAGCTGTCTGCCCATCGCAGGAGCTGGCACAGTTTCCTCACGTGACATATTAACTATGAACATCTCTGTTTGAAGGGATTTTAAACAGAAATAGGTGACAGAGAAAAAGATTGCTGGAAAGGGGTGGGGTGGGCAGGGAGTAAAAGCAATGTCTCATGTCTGATTTCCTGCTCTCAGCATGGAGACTGGGTTGTGGGGGTTTTTGTTAACAGCTGGGCAGAGGTGAGGGCTTTGCACATGTTCTGGGAAGCAAAAGTATGAACTGTGTCAGACTTCAGCAACGTGCTGTGGAATCACTGTCCTAAATTATTTTTAAAGCAACTCACAATTAATTAAGTGCAGGCTGGAGAACCACCAAGAGCATCCGCAAATTGGCCTGCCTCTTTCTCTTGAAACTAGCGCAATACTGAAGTGAAATATGTTGGAGAAAATAATTGATAAGTAGATATATCTAAAGGATTATGGATTATTTAGGTGTTTTTATGGCCTGCCTATGATGCAGATCACATGCTTTTATTGCTGCCAGAGCAAGTTGTCTCTCACCAGTGGACTCCCTGCGTGCTCCTTCTTCCCCCATGTGTCATGTCCACACCCATCCCACTCCCAAAAGATCTCTCAAATTAACAAATTTTACACTGTAAGGAGTAGCAGATGTTTCAAAAAGGTTTTTCAGCAAGTCTTTGGGCCTAATTTCAGACAGGGACAGCTTTGTCTTTGGTGCAAAAACTGAAAATACTTGTCTCCTTGCCAAGAGTTCATCCTGCCTACCATTTGAGCTCAGCTTTGCTCCTGAGCAAAGTGTCCTCTAAAGTGGCATTTAAGAAGTACCTGGGCTTTACTCAGCCACATCAGGAATTAAAGGAGATATCACCATTGTTTCACTTCCATGTTTTTCCCCACTCTTCCTGCCCTTTATGGGAATACTGAAGTCCCAGTCATAAGGTTATGAGGACAAAACCTGCTATCATACTCCCTTGCCCTTTAGTTCTCAGTGTGCTCATGTTAAAGCTTGGGAACCTAGGGGAATGGTCTGTGCCACCGGTGCTGGGAGGGCTCTCAAGCTTGCTCCAGGCACTTCCCGCTTTCCAGCTGGCCTGCCAGCCTAGTGGCTGTTTCTGCTGCACTGAGCAACTATCCCTGCCACTGAAGTGCTCAACCTTCAGAGAAATGGGTATACACCTGTGGGGGGGGGAAGCTGTTGTTGCTTGCTCTTTACTACTATCTCAGCAGCATTCTGTGCCAAATTTCGTGTATTACTTGCTGACAAAAGGGGGCCTGTTCTGTTTCTCCTCCAACTGCTGCTTTTTCCTTTTATTGCCATTTTGAAGTCTTTGCACTGATCTAGCCCTTTGCACTGTCTTTGACTCCAGCTTTTCCCTTCTCCCCATGGGAAAGCCTAGCTGGAGTGCACTAACACACCCTGCAGCTTTGTTCGAGGTTTAATGAGGAAGGTAGCAGGGGATCATGAGACATTGCTGGATGATTCCTCAAAGCCATTGCACTCTCTTGGACACTTTGACACGAGTAGCTTAAGGCTACTGTTTGCATCAAGTTGTTCTAGGCCCCCTCTCTTTGTAGGCACCTGTGTCCTGCCATGTGAGTGCACTGTGCTGAGCAAAAGTGCTGTCAGCTGTTCTCCAGGTTCATTTCTTTGCTCTGTTCTTTGCTTTCCTCTTCATTTGTAATCACTGGGGTGAAGAGAGAAAGACTAAAGCAAGTGAGGATGTCCTGAAGGGGCAGACAGTCCAAGTGATTGGACTTGGTGAAACAGGCTTGTTCCCAGCAGCTTTTCAAATGAGGGCTGCTGGGTTTCAGAGGCCAAGTGCTCCACACTCTTCCCTATGCACATAGCACGTGACGTCTGTGCATGCTGTGGAAGCTGGATGCCATTGTTATCCCAGGTCCTATGGCTGTATCTCTGGAAATAACTTCAATCTCTAGTGAAGGCTTTACTCGTTTGAGGGGTGCAAAGCTGAGCACCCAGACTGAAGACCACAGCACACTGGACCTGTCTGCTTTGGCACTTTGGGTTTTGGGCTCATTACAATGTGTCAGTGGCTTGTCCTTCCCTCACTGGATGCAAAGGCTGCTTGTCTGCAGGCCACAATGCCACTGTGTCAATTGGTGCAGGCCTTCAGTAACGTAGGCAAGCACCCCATCTGGCTTTGTAACATTGAAGGAATAAACTTCTTCCTTTCCTTTCAGATATATCCTATAACCTCTTCTTTCCTCTCTTGCAGGCATGAGATGGTCACTCATCGCCTGCTCTCTGTAGCTATTCTGTCATGTAAGCTATAACTTTGCCACCCAGTCTCTCCTCATGAGCTCCTGCTTCACAGTTCCCCTTCTGGGGAGCCTGGTTTTGAAAGGGTTTTTTGCTGTGAAGAAGGAAGGAAAAGGAGGATTTTCATCCTGGACTTCAATGGTTATTCTGGAGTGGAAGGAGATGGTGGCACATCTCAGCCCACAGCCCTGAGGCTGCTACTTTCTGCACCGGGAAGCTCCTTGCAGGAAGTTTGTGTTTCGTGGTGGCCAAGACTTCCACCATTAAGTCCTACTTCAGTCAGAGGTTTTCTACAAGGTCCTTACAGCAGCAGGTACCTGCCATCTCCCAAGGGATGTTTCCCTGACAGAGCCATCCAAAGTTCCTTCTGGACATGCTGTCAGAGATGGTCATCCATTCTCTTCCCCAGCCCCATCTCACAGTCCCACAGCTCTTGTATGTGTCTCCCTGTCCCCCTTTGTGTCTCAGAACAAGCAAAGGGTACAGAGCCTGTTTTGTGTGATTCAAGCAGACACTGAGGAGTGTCAGGACCCCACTGAGGCCCCAGAGGGTGACCAGTGTGTGTTTCACCAGAGTTCTGCCCGTTTGCAATGTGACTAAAAGGCTACTTCCCCTGCACCCTGGTGGGATGGACCAAAGGTGGGGGTCTTCTGCATAGGTACTGCTAAGGCATAAAGTGCCTCTTAGCAGCTTGGCATGCCATGCTCCCACTCCACAGGCTTTGTTTGATAACTGCTCTGCAGTTATCAGTAAGCAGTTACTGTCTCTTACCAGATCACAGGGAATAGTATTTTTAAATCTATGTGAAATGAAACATTATCTGACAGATCATCTGTATCTGTTTTTGAGCGCTAATTCATAATTATGTGTAGTTCCCCAAGCTTCTTGAGATATTTGCTCTTCCACTTTGAAGTGTTTAGCATGACAGCATTATTATTTACAGTTATTTTAAGGTGTTTCTTATTTCTGTTCTTAGAAGATGGAAGGGAGGATGGAAGTATTTTTTCAAGTAATTATGTGTGAATATACATGTACTCTGTGTGTATAAGGATGGCTGAATAACTTTTAAAAAGAAATACTCCATGTAAAGACTGAGTTATAACAACTCCCAGGTGTGAAACTCCAGCAACAAGGAGAGAGGCAGGAAGGAGATAAATTATCTTCTTTCTTTAAGAGGTTTCAAGTTTTAATGTGTTAAAATCCTTTGATACCTTTGTGCAAAATTGGGCAGAGAATAAAGACTCCCTTGAAGAGCTGATCAGCGGGAAGTCTCAAAAAGGAAGGGTAGGAAAAGGAGAATACATACAGAGAATCGAAAACAGAGCTTGCTCCTCTCTTCAGGAGCTTCAGTGATACATTTATGTGCATCTGGCAACCCTTTCTTTTGGACAAAAAACAGAAAAGGACCTTCCTAGAAACAAAGTAGGTGAATACCTGTACACAGACTGTATATTTAACAAAGCAGATTTACTGAGGAAGAAATCTTTATATTGTTGCTTTCTGCTCAATGCAATTTTCATTTTTAACTTCATGTCTCTTACAATTTGGAAAATACCTCTGTTATCACCTCATCTCTCTTTGAAGCAGTAACACGTGCTATCACCAGCACAGAACTGAGCTACTGTGGGCTGTGGGCCACATGCTGTCTATGGGAGTTGGTGGCCCAACGCTGGAAGAAGAGGCTGGAGTAAGGAGATGTATAGCTACATTTGACATACCAAGAGATGTGTAAATACAGTGTGGGCTACTCAGCATCTCGTAGCTGAAGCAGTTTTCCTCTACTGATGTGAATAAATCACGGCTGGAGGCTTATAGCCAGTGTGAGCATCCGCCTTGTGTCAAGCTCAGGTGATAATCAGGCTTGTGCTACCTCTTGTCAGGACCAGGTCTGTAATTTTCTGCACCCTGCCTTTCACCAGCCCATTCCTTAGCCCTTTGCAGACGGGCTGGCAGGTGTTGCAAGCTCAAAGAGGCCTCATCTCACACAGCTCTCAGTCTTTGCTTCTAATTTGAAAGCTTTAGCCTTCTTTATTACAGGGAAAAAAAAAACTGAAAGTGACCCAAATGTCAAGTACAGAGGGCAAATATTAAAAGTAAGCTTGTTTTTGCCTTTGAAATTCCACACTTCTTAGAAGCTGTTGGTGCCCCAGAGCTGGGGAGGATAGCTCCAGAAAAAGATCCCCTCAAGTGTGCAATCAGCCCTTCACAGCAGTCTGCTGAGGATGCTGGAACAGAAATCAGCATTTCGAGTTTTTTTTTTTTCCCATGCCATAAAGAAGAACCTGTGGGAAGGTCCTGCCTATGTCCTTACACAAAACCAGGATATCCAGTTATTAGTGAGAGATACCTCCAGGGCAAGCTCAAATTTTGCAACACTTCCCAAGGCAGGGAAAATGCCCTGGGCTAGGGCAGTCTTGGGAAGAGAATGAGTCAGGAGCCCTTTCTTTCTTTTGTTCTCTTTCTTTTCTTTTTCCTTTTCTTCCTTTCTTTCCTTTCTCTCTCTTAGATTCTTTCTCTTTCTTTCTCTCTCTCTCCCTTTCTTCCTTTTCTTTCTTTCTTTTTTTTTTTTTTCTTCTTCTCTGTAGTCCTGATTAAGTAAAAACTGTAGGGATGAAAACTTTTGCA